CCCCGGAAGCTCCGCCTTCGACTACGCCTATGGCGTTTTGACGCGGGTGATGGGGCTGATGCGGGAGGGGGCCGGCGAGGCGGCGGCCCTCGCCAACGTCGTGCAGGCGCATTACCGGGAGGCCCTGGGGCTTCTGCGGCCCCTCGCCGAGGCGGTTGAGCAAAACGCGCAGGACTTTAACGTGGTGTGGACGCTCTGGCAGGGGCTCTTGCGCGGCTCCGACGCCGCCTACGAGGCGGAGCGGACAGGGGAGGCGCGACTGACCTACGGGAGCCTCCTTGTCGCCTTTTCCCGCGTCGCCGCGGGGCTGGACCCGAGGACGAGGCGGCAAATCCTGCAGGATCTGAGCTCGGCGACCACGCGGAATAGCAGGGCGGGCTTGCACGACTCCAACACCGTCCGGGAGGCGTTGGTCGCCGCCCTCGGCGCCTGCCTCTCGCCGGCGCACGCTCAGACGATCTTTAACCAGCTCTCCGCCCCGGCGAATCGATCGTTTTTGGACGCCACGGACCTCGCGATGGGGACGATGCTGCAAGCCCCTTCCCGGGCCTTGGATGGCGCGCTTTTTTTCTTCAGCTTTGCCCTCCAGCGGTATCGTCTTTCCATGAATGTCGTCCACGCCTTGGCGGCGCGGATTCTGCTCGAGGGAAATGAAAATCGCGCGATGGGGGAGGCGGTGAAGGTGGTGTATACGGTTTTGGATACCGGCGTTCAGTCGCAACGTGGGCGACTGGATCCGCAACCGGAGCGGACCTTTTTTCTCCGAATGTTGAGCTTTTACGCTGCCCTCCACAATTCAACGGAGGAAAATGGTGAAAACGGACCAGGCGGAAAGTCTTTTCTGGCTACCGAGGAGCAGATTCATGCTGCCGCGCGCGTTCTCAGGGAGTGGATTTCAGAAACGACGACCGGCGCGTATGAGGGGTCTTCTGCGCAATCCATTCCCCCCCCAACGACCTCAGCTCTTACGATTCGCTTACTGCAATCCGTTTGGATTTTTCTTTTCCAACACTTTGAGCGCGAAGCCGCTGAAAACTCCCACGACGATCAAAATAACCCGTTATTCGATACTCTGAGGGATGTACTAAAGGCGATGTCCCGTGGTCTTTTGCAGGGATCCGAGAGGCTCTCTCACTCGCTGGCGACGGCGTTTACTTCCTCCACGCATGCCTTATCGCGGGAGATTTGCTCGAGCTCCTGTGATCCATTTTTGAAGTCCAATTTCCCAATCTGCCAACACACTTCTAATCATGATAAGGCAGGATTCAAAGAAGATGAGTCTCGCACGTCCGTAAACGCACTATCGGTGAGGCTTTTACATTTCCCAGACTACTTCAACGCCTATGATTGCCTTTCGGCATGGGGGGTAGACGAGATTCAAACCTTTTTAGAGCTCGTTGAACAGCTTCTTACAGGCTCAGATCGCATTACGAAAGGGGAGGATTCCCAGTATTGGTGGATCCGGCTGTGGGATTACTGCACCTTGGCGGAGCTTGAGGCGCATCTTCACCGATTTACCCTTGGTGATGATCGGCGTCATCGTAGTCCATCCAATAACGCGCACGACAAGGGTCAAAGGGGTCGATTTTTCTGCCCATCCGGCTTACGCGCGGCGACTTCGAAGGGAACGCCCCTGAAGGTGAGGGTTTTAGACGGTTTGGCCGATACCGAGCTCGCCCTTTGGTTATTCCGACGACAATTACACGACCAAAGAAGGGATGGCGAGGTCTGGCAAGAAGCGAATCTCATGATGGTCGAGGTTGAGGAGGTTATGAGGGGGAAAGGGATTCAACTACCACGATCATTTTCCAAACCTCAGGAAATGCTGGTCCGTAAGTGGCTGCGAGAGTATTACAAGGAAAGCAAATTATCGGAGGCGCTCCTAGCCCCGTCGTCAATTTCCGATCTCCAGTTTTTCACACGAACGCTAGAGCAAATGTTTTTTGAAAAGGCCTCAGGCGGGCGGGAGTATGTTGAATCGCTTGAAACCCCCAACGACGTCCAAACTGCAGAGGAGACGCCGCGGACGGAAACGACGAAGGAAGCGCATGGCCTGAGCAATATGTTCATCACGCTCTAATAGCCATGAGGTGGGAAGCGCTAATGTCAAAATCGAAAGGGGGAAAGCGTTGAAATGGCCAAAAGAGGGCTGCCAAGGATCACACCGTAAAGAATATGCCAACACTTTAGTGATTTAAGCAAAATAATCGACTTGGGAGAGATGTTATTGTTTTCTCCCCCTCATTAATCGCTCTTTTGCTTTTTGGTGCTTATTAAATTCAGAGGTGTCCGATAGAGGGAAACCTGGAACTTGAAGGAACCGCAATTTTTCATTGAATTGAACTTGAAAATGGATTTTTTTTGCTCCTTTCTCCTTTTTTTTTGAATATTAGACTTGATAAACCGGTATTATCTGCAGTAGTGGGAAACTCATTCGACTTTTTTATCACTATCACTTCAGTAAATACTATTACACATAATAATATATTTTTTTCCCTTCCTAAAGTAAGTGTTTACACTCATATATAGCTTTATTTTTTTACTAAAGGTCACTTTTTTTTTACTCATTTTCTTTTGTATTCTATCTTCCATTTTTTCCTATATTGGGCGTTAATTTTTTTTTATTTTCTATAGATTGCAATACTTCTCTTGTTGAAGAGTGCTTTTGATATGTACATGCTCGTCAAAAAAAAATTATATTGTGAATATAAGTTTCTGTACAATATTCCACTCCTTTAGGGAGTAGGAAGCGATTGAGCATATTATTCATTTCTAAGGGGCGGTATTCAAGATCAAATTAGATAACAAGAGGGTTTATGGTTAAAATTCGCCTTTCTTTAGTTTTGTTCGTCTATGGCGTGTTGGTGATCGTCGGCTTAGTAAGCCTTTGCGTGGTCTTCACCGTTATGAACCACTACTGCACGCGGGAGATGGCAAAGGAGCTGCTGATGACGATCATGGGGCATAACGTGAAGTTTCTGAGGAAGAATTTCCACATCTACGAGCGTCTCACGCGCAAAATAGCAGCCGATATGATTCTTTTCAACCTTTCCGCTCGCATGTCGGTGAATTTGCAGGTCCCGAATACGTATCTGACAAGCTGGAATGCGATGTCGCTGATGCTCCTTGCCAATACCCACGTAATCGAGTTAGCGGAGATGTGGAGTTTCCATCCGGGAGGGAATCATGGCCTTGACGAAAACGACGATCATTTGGGCCTGAATTGGTCGATTTCGAGCTGTGATAAAAACATCTCGGCTTGTCATTATTTCGACGGCAAATCTAATCGCACGCGTTCTTTACCAAACTGGATCCCAAAGAACACCCTGTCCGGCCTGACGCCGACCTTCACGTACACGGATGGGGCCTCGAAAAAGCACCAACGAAAGATCGGGTTTCTCGACTCGATCGGCCGGCGAGTCCCGGAGGAAGGGATTTGGTCCCCGATGTACGTCGATTTCGTCGAGGACAACTCCACCATCACGCGGACCTGCGCGAACCGCCAGGTGCTCTTTTCCATGTCCTATTATTTCTGCATCGACAACGTCTCGGACGACACCTACGGGCCCACGGACTTCCAGTTTATCGAGCGCCCGAACAGCTTCGACTTCCTTCCCAGTCCGACCCCGGCGAAGCCCTGCGAGCACGTCGTGATCGCCACCGTCGAGGGGATCCACATCGGCGCGGAAAGCAGCCTCGGGGTCTCGGAAAGCGCGAAGACGCTGATCCTGGCCTTGGATCAGGTGGACGAGACCGGCGGGATTTGCAACCCGAGCCCGGACATCCTGCGCATCAAGGAGAAGCTGCGGGACTGCGCGGTGACGCACGACCCCCACAACCCCGGCTCCCGCAGCCACCTGGCGATGGACCGGGGCCAGATCACGATGGCGGAGAAGGTGCTCTCCTCGAGCGGGATTCACCTCGTCTTGGTCAACGTCATTCGGCGGAGCCACTTCTTTTGGTTGGTGGATCGGTTTAAGATGCTGTCGATTGTGGTGTCGATTTTGGTGACCGTCGCGCTGGCGATCGCGTGCGTGCTGCTCTGGGCCGCGATCTGCGTGCCGATTCACTGGATTTGCCGGGGCATGCACGAGGCCTCGCGGCTTTCCTCGGAGAAGGACCCGATGCTCAAAAAGGCCGCGCGCTATACCATCATCGCGGAGGTCGCGCAGCTCTTCGTGGCCTATTTAAACCTCCGCGAGGCCCTGCGGGAGCTCAAGGCCTTTGTCCCGCAGGGCCTTTTTGTGGCCGCCTCGGCCTCCAAGCATCAGTCGGACTCCCCGATGCTCGCGCTGTTCGGCCAGGACGAGCTCACGAAGACGGAGCTGGACGGCTCCCTGACCTCGCTCTCCGAGGAGGAGGATTTCCTCCGCACGGGCGCCAACCACGCCCCGTTCGGCAACTTCCACCGCGACTTCCACGGCAGCCATTCCTCCCGGGGGGGCCTGGCGGCGACCGCCGGCGCCCGGCCCGCGCGGACCCCGTCGAGCGGGTCCACCGCGGAGGACCCCCCGGTCCTCGCCGGCGGCGAGGCCGCGCATCTTCTGCGGCCGGAGGCC